CTGCACGGCATTGCTGTAACGGTAACAAAACCTGAGAAAGTGTACACTGTTTTTGTCTCTTCATGGAAGTCATAAAAACTCGGTTTTAAAGATTTTACCCACCAAAATCGGTCTCAGCAGGTACTTCAGTTTCCATCAAACCGCCACGTTAGGTCTAACGAAATTTGCTTGATTTATTACTTGAAAAGTGCATTCCTGGAGTCGTGCATGTCGTATGCGGGTGCTAAATTCAGCTATCTATGTTGATTCATAAATCCAGTTGCGTGCCGTACATTATCCTTCGCGAAGAAGTAAAATGTGGCTATGTTAGGCCATCTTATAGAAAATAGAAAAAGCACAGAACGAATGACCTGTTCAACAAATGTACACCGCAGAATAACTCACTAGTTATATAGTTTGACGCATAAAGAAAAACAAAACACAAGTGCCGTAAAGCTCGTGACTCGATTGTGTATCATGCTTCCCAGAGTGAGTATTCGAGTGAGTTGCATGCCACAAGCTGTTTTCTCTTGAGTGTACTAAACCAACTGAATTACGCATACCACGCACAACATGTATCCAGTCACAACTGAAAATCTACACACACAAAATGGCTTCGCATTTGTTTACTTCGCTGCTTAGAAATCCAGGCATTATATCTATATAACTAGTACACCGGCTCTTTCATAGGAGTGCATGTAGATATCTTTCTGTTGTCTTGTTGCGCTACAATAAATCGTAGTTACTGATGCCATGGCTTTCAGAGTACTGCTCTTGAGTGCTTGTAAAAATTACATTCTGAACCTTACGTGGTTATAAGAGTAGATTATTTCTGCCAGTGATCTATGCCGCGAAGAGTGTGCACACGTTCTTACTGATCAAAAAAGACTCTTTCAACGTATTCTGTCGTCACCTCTAAAGGAAAAAAAAAAACAAGGCTGAGGGGGCGGGAGGGGGGGGGGGGGCTCTAGTTAGCTCTCTAGTTAGCAATGAAGACAGCTTGCTCCCTGTCTAGAGCAACAAACAAAGACACTATACTTGCTTACCTCAAAAAAAAAATAAAAATACCAGTCTGCTCACAGAGCAACGGTGTGCCTGCCATACACCTGTGAAAGACCTTCGGCTTGGATGATCTCCGCTCGAACACCAAGCTTCATTTTTTCTCAACTTATGGGAACACTACGCAAATTTGTAATTAAAAGCACGTCGTAACTATTCAAGGTATCAAGTCCGCCTGAACAACAATGTCAGATTCTCCAACAGCATTCACTAGAACGTTCAAGTTTTATAACTAAAACCAGCAACCTAAACGCGTACTTATATGTACAAGACAACTATCTCTCCGAGGGAGTCGTATGCTGTGCGAGAATGTAAACGCTGCGACTTGTAAGTCCCACGGGACGGCTTTCTGCTCTCCCATAGTAAAGTGCGTCGTACTCTAAATCGTTAACAACTTTTTCTACACACAAATAAAAACTTTAGGCGTCTTTTTCAATGAGCACAAACACTCGCGGGCGGCTTTTTGCTCTCCCATAATAGAGTACCAGGTACTCTAAATCATTAACAACTTTTTCCAAACACACATGGGTCCTTCAAAAGTCCATCGCTCTCGGTATTGTATAGTTTGTGAGGCCCACGGGACGGCGTCAAACTCTCCCATAGTAAAGTACTTAGTACTCTAAATCGTTACCCACTTTTCCTAAACACAAACATGGGTGCTAAACTCGCCACCAAACAAAGGAACAAAAGCACCACGGGACGGCTTTATACTCCCCAAAGTAGAGTACCAAGTACTCAAAATCGTTCACCCCCCCCCCCCTTTTTTTTTATAAACAACATGTTCACGGCGTGATTTTTTTAACAGGGCCTCGTGCAGTGTGATGCCTAAGGGGCGGCTTCATGCTCTTCCACAGTAGAGTACCTAGAGGCCAGGAACCCTAAATCGCTACCCACTCTTTCTAAACACAGGCGTAAGCAGGTCGTCAATGACCGTCGAGGATTCCTCGGGACGGCTTACTGCAGCCTGTTGTTGAATACGAAGTACTGGAAATCGTTTCACACTTTTTTCTAAACACAATTCCTTCGGCACTGTTACTGCCCTTTTGCGTCGTTTGTGAGAGACGCGAGGAACTTGTCTTTCGACCTGCCTGGTTTACGGTAGATTGATGTTCCAATCAGTACCAGTAGAATTACCACGTAAATAAAGAAAGTAAAGTATACATATTAACGTTTTGATTGTGCTTTTGTTGAACATGTAATGTACATATGTATGGAACTATTCTTGTAACAAATTTTTTATATTTGGGGTTTAACGTCCCAAAACCACCATATGATTATGAGAGACGCCGTAGTGGAGGGCTCCGGAAATTTCGACCACCTGGGGTTCTTTAACGTGCGCCCAAATCTGAGCACACGGGCCTACAACATTTCCGCCTACATCGGAAATGCAGCCGCCGCAGCCGTGATTCGATCCTGCGACCTGCGGGTCAGCAGCCGAGTACCTTAGCCACTAGACCACCGCGGCGGGGCTACAACAAATTTTTGTCTGTCTATGAATGTCCGATTCTGTTTAAATGCTCCGTTCCAGTGTTATTGATGTCCCCCGTCTGCGAGAATATTTTTTTCTAAACTCATATACAAAATTCTTCAAGCTAGAACAGCTTATTGCGCTTTCAGTTAGAGTACGTCGTATTCCCAATCATCGAACATTTGTTCTATACACAGCAGGCGTTATTTTATGTCATGCGCGTCGGTACGGTTCACGGCTTTCTCAGAGTTGAGTGCGAAATACTCGAAATCGTTAAACACTTCATCTAAACACCCTGTGGGAGGCTATGGGAGCAAAACTGTGATTCGGCTTTGTAGGAACATCTTGAAGTATTTGCGCAGGCTCAAAATCTGACGCACAGACGGTTGCCCGTTTGTGTGTGCCATCGTTGTTCTGCGCGCATACTTCAAGAGGCTATGGAAGGCACTGTGGAGGTCACAGCATTGCTAACAAACAAGACAGGTTAGTGCCTCAACACGTTTAAGAGTATCAAACAAGACAGTCTAGATAATGCATTTGCGATTCCTTCTTTTCCCTCTCTTCATCACACCGTTTGGAACATGTGCATTTCCAAACGATCTGCAACGAACCCAGTAAGGTGCCCAGTAAGCATTTTGACCCGAACCTCGATGAGCGGTGCCCTCAGTGAGGGGAAGTCTGCGACAACTTTCACGTGGTGTGGGCATGTCATATGAATCCTTCCTTTCCCACCAATCCTTCTCCTACTAGAGAGGCATAGGAGGCAGCCATGTATACTCAATTGCTGAGGACTGGTAGCTCAAGGAGCTCTAATCCAACGGGCGCGAGGAGCGGCCTTGTCCGGGAACAAGGACTCCCTCTACGTAAGGGGCCCTTACGGGCCTGAAAGCTCCGCGAATAAACGTTTTCCCCGCACACATGGGTGATATCACTCGAGCTTACGCTGAAAACTCAGTCGTGTACGTAACTGCGCACGTGTGCGGAATACAAAGTTTCACCCAGCAGGTCAGCGCCCTGACGTCCTCGTTGTCATATGAGCGCAGAGGGAAACCCAATGAAAACAGCTAGCGACAGCTACATAAGAAAAATTTGCTTAAATAGCCAAGGTGGCGATAAAGTTAGGACTGTGCTGCGGAGAAACGCAATCACGTCGCAGGAAGTCTAGTACGGTAGCGCGAACGCCGCACTTTGCAACAAACACGAAAAAGCGGGAAAGGTGTTTTGACACATAGCTTTCACAACCCCGTAAATGTTTCAGCAGAAAGGTTTTGTTTAATAAAAACAGCGATTGTGGAAGCTCGATTGAGTAGCGTATAGCCAAAAGGAGTTTAGAAAGGTGTTTTCGACTAGAATATGTTTTCCACGTTCAATCGATCGTGCATGCCTAAAAACATATTTCAAAACGTTCTGTTATCAATGCTATGCAAATACTTTTTATATATATCCAAACTATCGATACTCATTGAGCGTTGCTTGACCAAACGCATGCGCACGCAGCCCCCACAACTTGACCCGAGGACCAACCTGCTCCTCTTTCTTTTTTCGCCATCTGTCGATGCGTTGCAGAAGACCACGCCCAAATGAAGCAGGGATGGTTCCATATGAGTTCGTATTTAAAACAAAGTTTACTCATGGCATCCTTTGCTTCATTCGAAGTACGGACAAAACTGAGGCGGACAAGATGTGGATGTGCTTTACGAAATTTCTCTTGCGTGAGTTTGCATGAACTCTCTTTCACAATGAAGTGCGTATCCAGCAGCTTGGACACTAAAATCAGCGACCCGCTGTTACCGGGGTGCTCTCTTAATACTCGGCAGCTTGTACGAAAGCCAAGCACAAAGATGTGTGTCAGTAGAAATAATATTCCTTGTTTCTGGACGATATCGTCAGCTGCCTCGCAGTGATGTGGCGGGAAACCGCCTACTCCCTTGCGATAGGCTGGGGTTACAATCTACGTACGTGTATTGCTGCTGTAACCCCATCGGTTTATTCCCCAAAATGTAACACACTCCTCATTCAAGCTTCGGCTATCCCTTTGTGCCCACTCGGAAAGACAGGGCAAGAACAAAACACAAACGTCAGGAATAGATACGCCTTTGCTCGCGCCAAGGTTCCCGCATCTCCCGAGTAGGAGAAGCCTGCTTGAATTCGCGGCGGAAAAATAAACACGAAAAAGCACTGCCTTCCGCCGCCCCGCCAAAGCGTCCGCACCCCGACAGACAGCATCCAAAAAACCTCCCCGGACTCGGTTCGGAAGCTCAACAAAACAAACACAGAGACCGGTCGTGGCTGTGTGAGTTGAATCAGAGGACACTGATCATTGGAAAGTGTTGGGTAAGCGTGTATTCGACGGTATTTTTCATTTGCGGGTGATCGGTGAAGTCACACGGAGTGATCGGGCGGCGCACTATTTCTCCTCAGACCTCGCACGCGGAGGAAGCTCACCGTTGGCCTATCCCACAATGCAGCGCGGCGGCAGGGCAAGCGCTCTCTCATCCTCGCCACTTGCTCGCTCGCGGCAGGAGTGGGAGACGCGTTTTACGGCTTCGTCGGGAACGGACTGCGAGCCGAGTTCGAGCGGCGGCGGTGTTGAGCTACGAGTGTGGGGGGCTTTTGGTGAGTGCGTGTGGCCGGGGCTTGTTGGCGGGGCAGTGGTGAGAAGCGGCGTCGGTTGTGTTGTCCGTGCTGAGTGGCGTGGGGAGTTCATATCTCTATTTGGTGAAACGACGTGCAACAACGATTAGGAAGAGAAAACTTCGTCAATGACCGTTCGGAGGACTTCGAGGCAGCTCCACGACGGCGTCGACGACTTCTCCTTCCCGTCCAAGTCGGGGCCCCCGTCGGCCTACACCTGAGGATTATCGCAAGACGGACGAAGCAGCCCGCGCGCGGCCAAAATGACACTCCATCCGAGGAGGGAACATGACCGAAGCTAGCTTCCACGAGTGAGTATTTTATCCCTACGCCGGTTCGGTTTTCCTTCCTTATTTTGCGTTTATTGAGCACGCGTATTCTCGCTTCTCTCCATCGTCTTGCTTCAAAAACCACGGGCGCTCCACAAGCCGAAATCGAGGAGCACCCCACACTCACTCCGCCTCCGCTCAGGCAAGAGTTTTTCGTTGGTCCGAAAACACCGGCTTGTTTATTATTTTTTAATTTTTTTGCCCATGTTCGCGGTTCACCGGTAAGTAGCGAAGTTCGTGTTTGTCTCTACCGATCTCGCCTCGAGTTTAACCGGCTAGCGAGTTCACTGTAGTTATAGAGAGGATCCCAACTGCTTTCGCCTAGACAACGAACAGTCGGCGCAAACAAACCGCGCTGTGGTGCCGCTTCGGTTTCTGGTCTGTTCGTGTTACTGTACAACGCCGAGGGGAGCGCTGGCGTCGTCTCTCCTTCGCTCCGAGTCGTTCGTTCGCTCGCTCGCAGCCACTCCTTGCCGTCGTCTTCAACGATCGTTCCTTCTCATTTTCTTTCCGCTCTCTTGCGACGCTCCGTTCGATCCTTCGTTCTTCTTTTACCTCCCGTTTCATCCGTCCTCGTCTTCCTGCGGGTCTGCGGGGGGAGGGTAGACTCCAGCACTATATACCACACCCCTGCTTGACTTGCGATTCAAGTTCAATCTCTCTGTGGCACCAACGCGCGTCATGACAGCTGATTGTCTGCTGAGTGAATCTCAGTATGGCCCCAACCAAATGCTGTTATATCCCTCGCTCTTTCGTTCGTAGGCCAGCCGTCGCACACGACCCTTGAAAACAGGGGTTAGGCCTACTTCACGATAGCTACTGCAGCGCTGCCCCCGCGACTGTTATTTACGCTATTCCCATGAACTGTCTATCTCCGTGAAATGAACGAAGAGAATACAGTTCTGAAACAAAAAAAAAAAAGTGTTTAACGCCGTCGTGTTGCCAGACTGAAACCGAAAGCGTTCGGGCGCAACCAGTGACTTGTTGGTCGTCGGCCGCGCGCTTTTCAAAACAACTTTACGGAGACTCGTCGCTAGAGCCCTTTATTTGACCCGATTCTATCTCAACGCCCTCGTGCGCGGCTGCTTTACGCCGCCGTCCCACGACTCATTTGAACGAATCACGCGTGAGCATGGGATGGTTTTAGAAAAAAATTGCGGGGGGGGGGGGGGGAGGGTAAGAAAGCAGCACATCGTGTTCTGACTGGTTAACGCCATGGCGTAAGCACGTGGCGCGTAGTGTCATTTTACAAACGTGTGTTTCCGTAGGTGGCACATCATCTGAAGCCTCATTAACTTAGTTCGGTACACTGGCATGGCAAAAGTGATTACTCATAATTAATAGAAACCAGGTTGTTTCAGAATAGAGCTCGTTGCGTTAGAGTTTGTTGGTCATGTTTCAGGAAGGGTTAGCATATGACGCATGCGCAGTTCCGACAAATGCCGACATAAATCTTTCGTACGTTATTCTGTTAATTGCCCCACTAGACAGTTTTATGATATGGTACTCAAAGATGGCGTTCGTTGCGTGCGTGTGCCATTTTCGTCACTCATGTAGGTATCAAAGAAGATAGCGTGTACACGCATGCGCAGTGGCGACAACCGCTTACGCAACGCTTTGCGTACCCTTTTCTAATGTTGTATTTTGTCCAAATGTAACCGTGGGTTCCCAAGGCGATAGCGTATGACGTAGGCGCGGTCACAGTAAACGCATCTTGTCCCTTTGGCGTCGTTCTGTTCTCGCGCTCTAACCATTGGCATGGCAAACTCAAAGCATTGCGTACGCTTTTCTAAAACTGCCGACTGAAACTGCGTCTTCAGCTACACTCGAAGTTGCGGACTCGATACGTGCTTCCCGACCACGGTGACATCTTGACGGGGTCAGATACAGGTGCGCGTTAAAACTAGGTGATCAAAATAAATCTCGTGTGACTTTCTCTCCTCAATCATACGTTGGTATTGGCACGTCTAAGCACTTAGAAGGCGCCAGCGGCGTTGTTTGGCCGTACTCCCAAAATGGTGACATGCATTCATTCATTTCGTCCAGCCGAGACTCCGTTTAATTGACCGCGAAACAAACGCATTGGTCGGGTCACTTTTGCTTGGTGTTCAAACGTGTTTGGGCACGTCGGTCATTCAGTCGCGGTGTTTGCTCTGCTATGAAGACACACACACACACTCGCTCACTCTGTAGCACCACCATTTTCTCTTAAAACGGCGTGCATGTGCAGTACGAGTGCATAGTATGTAAGCGCGTTCTCCTGTTCCTTTTCCTTCGCAATCATTGTTGCTTGAGCAGCAGTCGCAGCTGTTTTTTTCCCCTTTTCAAAGAACGTATACACGGTTGTCAGCTGCGTTCTCAGCTTCCGCGATTGGCTTAAACGAGCGTCTCTGTTGTTCCCGAGACAGAAAGAAAGAGAGAAAGAAAAAAAGCGGTATGCGGCTGCGATAGTACGTTGAGGAGCGAGGGGGGTCTCTCGTACGGCTGTGGCGGCGGCATATGCGCTTGCACCCTCCCTCGCTACACCCATCCGCCCGCTCGGGTTCTATTCAGCTCCTCCACTTTTCCGCACACCCTCACCCTCCCTTCATGTGGCCTGTTGTGTGTGCTCTCGTGAGAGCGTCGTTTCCTCTCTTCATTCTGTTTCCTGTCCGCGCGGCTGCTGCTGGCTTGCCTCGTGCGGCGGTGGCGCCCGCTTTCTCTCTCTCTTTCTCCGGTACGTTTTTGCTATCTGTACGCCGCGATTACTCCACGCTTTTTGCCGGCTTTCTTTCTTTCCTCGTACTCGTCTGGCCAGTGTGTTTAGAGCTCGGCTCACGAAAGCCGTTTCCGGCGCCGCACAGTTGACCCACACACAGTCGCCCTCTCCCCGCTGGTTCGGAAAAGTCTGCAGATCTCCACCACGCTCGCGTTGACATTCCTTTTTATTTCTTTTTTTTTTAAACGAACTACCTCTGTTAAGATCTCCCGGCTCGCACGGCTGGTTACTCTTGCTCACGCTCTCGGCTAATGCAGGTTAGGCGCGGTTACCAATAAGTCATAACCACACGTACGCGTCTAAACGCGCCAACGCGTGGCGTGTTGGCGCTGCGCGCTGGCGCGTTCTAACGCACAGTTGTCGTTAGGGCTTTACACGACATGCGCAGTACGCGTTGTGGAAGCATCCTCGGCCTACCGGGAACAGCGCCAGACGCGCTTATCAACTAACGGAAGGGACGGTAAAGAGGATAGTAAGACTACTGGCCTGATTACAAATCTTTCATTGTAGCTTATTACAACTCATATCTGCGTTGCTTAAATGTCTCCGCAACTAATAAACTGCTACACATTTAGTGTTTGCGGCTTTGTTTGGCCTTACGCAAACCATGACGGGCGTGGCCAGGTACTTTGGTCGTCGCAGGTTGCTAAAGCATCCAAAAGTGTGCTTTAGAAATGGTAGGACCTTCAAGAGATTCCCGTAGAGAGCTTGATTTCATTGTTTACTTCCATAAGAATGGTGGCAGGCCCGAAGAAGACGACGTAGTAATTTCCACTTGAATCGAGCCGCTGTTCAAGGCTTTCAACACGGAGATACAAAGTATACACATGTGTACATATAGTGTATTCAATATCGCAGACAACACGCTGAATAAGGTATAGCTGCAGTTCGCATTTAAGCAATATTGGTATAAGCACCTCACACACACAAAAAGGAAGAAGTGGAAATACAACTTCGAAAGATGATCAGGTCGTAAAATATATACGTCATAACACAGTTGCTCTGGCCCAGCAGTAATATATAACTTTTTAATTAAGCATTTGATATGATTGTTGTATAATAAACCAATTTCTATTATTTTATTACAAACCACACATGCCTCTCATGGACAGGGCACGCATTTGGGCTAGTTGCTGTCAATGGTCACCTGCACCCACGTCGTTCACCCCCCCTCTCTCTCTACCGCTTCCTGATGTAGTAGTCAGGCGTGTAATTTTTTCTGTAATTTTCTTTCACCTGCACACTTTATTTGCCTTGTTGTACGGTGCTGTTTGATATTATGCAAACGATTTCACATGAAACAAGAGCCATATAGGCGCTGACAACTTGAGAATAAATACGTGCTCAGCCTCCAGTACTGCAGCGAGCCTGCCATTCACCTGTGCAACAGAGCAAAAATGGGCGATATCGGTTTGAACCACAATCACTTTTTCGCTGATAGTTCAAATACTATATTATGAACTAGAAGTTCGTCCTGTTTTGTTAAAATGTTACGCTTGACTAGTGAAGTCGGATTTTTTAAATGAAGTTTACCAACACGTAAAGCTTTCGAAAACTACCGAAATTAATCCGTGGCTGTGCGGCCAAGTCACATACTTTAAATACACCAAAGGATCCTGACGTCACGTTATTAAGCGATTGCAATTATCTGAACTTCTTAGGCTGTAACTAACTATAGGAGCGTATACACAAACAACTTCGCGTACGCAGGTACTGCTGTAAGAGGCAACAAGAGACCTGATTTTAGGCCCTTTGTATTGTCTGGATAAGTCCTGTCGCGTCCCCCCCCTCCCCCCGTTCTGATTAGTGAAACCTAAAAAAATCACGATAATATATAGTTGATCGACAGAAACACTTCGACGGAAAGCTTGTTTACTTTCGCAACAACTTGCTCGCTGTTGATCCTATAATCAGTAGAAAGGTGTAATCGCTGCTTTATCTTGTGAAATACTCATGTCTTATCGGACAGAAGACATTTCTCCAACGTAATGGTCATTGAAAGATAGCGGTTTGAGAGGGACCTGCAGCGAAGGCGCCGGCGAATTCCTGTTGCTTGAAAGGTGGTTGTGCTGCTGTGGTGTCCAACTATCGACTCTCGAATCCGGATGTATTGACCTAATCACTATGTACAGGGAGTCTGTCTGTCAACTGCAACATTGTATTCGACTGGGACTGTCAAAGCGATTCAGTGAGTGTCTCGTGAAATATACGTTTCGCGTGTGTT